TGTATTCTGACAAGTAATGTTTAAATGTATGTTATGGTTTTCATTTCAGTATGCATAGGTAGCACATTATTGGATGGAAAAATAAACACATTTTGTTTGGCCTGAAAAAAAATGATGTACCAAATAATGAAGTTACACACAAGATAATATATATTTTTGAATATGTTAAATACTTTTTTCACCCACATACCATATACACTATTGCACAGAGACACACATTGACAGATACAGACACATAATCATAATGTGTGTTTGGCAATGTTTATCTGATTATGTCTGGCAGTAAGTATCTTTGTGCATCTGTGAGTAAATATTTGCACATACGCATATCCCTAAACTATGTTTGCAATGCATATCTGAGTCTGTGTCTCTGTAGCCTCATGAGCAGGGTTATCTCTTTGTTTGGGAGCGTGTGTGGGAGCTGCTTGCAATGTGTTATGCATATGGAGAACTGCGTGAGGTTTTGATGTGTGCATTTGGTTTATGGCAAGACTGCGCTGTTTGTGTAGAGTGACTGCTAGTAGCAATGAGTAGTCGTAGTAGTAGTAGCAGCATGTCTACTGAAGAGGGGGCCCAGCAAACACCATCTTTCCCTTCCAGGAGGTCCTCTTCAACTCTTACGAGCCTGGTTGTCAGAATGTTGCCCCGGGTTACCACAGCAGCACTCTATGTGGTACGCATGCTGGGCCCATGAGAGAGGGAGAGGAGTCTACTGGGCCTTCTATTAACTATACAGCATGTGGCAGCCAGCACAAAGCCATTGGACCACCAAGGATATAATGTTCCCGCTCCCTGGTCACAGGTGGGAAGCAGGGAGGGGGAAATAAAATTAAGCCCAACCCAACTGCATCCACTACACAAACACACTCACTGCATCGGCTATACACACTACATCTACTACACAAACATACACTATATCCACTACACATACTGCATCATCTACACAAACACACACTGTGCATCCATATATATACTGCATCCACTACACAAACACACTAAATCCACAACACAAGTACACACTCTACATACACTACACACACTATATCAACTACACACACACACACTGGTATAATAAAACAAAGGATCAGCGCTAAAAAAAACACAGGGGATAATATTGTCAAGGAAGCACACCTAAGGAAATAGGGTTCCCTCACAAACCCTAAACAGTTATGTAAACAAAGAATAAACTAGAAGAAAGGTAGCACCAATAATACAATAGTATTTTCCACTTTTTAAAAAAAATCTGTTTTATATTACCCTGGGCTCCTTCAATGATACCACGCTGAGAGACCTAAGAATTCTACCTACTCATATATCATAGAAGTGGGGATAATACCACTCTATGCTGTGTATACCAGAGATGGTCTTAGCTCTGGTAAATATGAGTAGGACCAATCTGTTATTTGTACAGTTTTAATATCCGAACATACTGTACCATTGAAACTTTTTCCTTTGTCTTTTCTACATATGCACACTTGGACTCCGAGCCATACATGACCCAGAACCCCATATAAGACAATTACATCTATCATGATTCAGCGGTTCCCATACAAGTGGTATTTCATTTCCTTTTGGTTGGTCTTTTTACTGTGGACTTTTTATTTTATCTTATTTTATAATAGATATTTATATTTTCAGAGATACTATTTAATTATTGGTGCTACCTTTCTTCTAGTTTATTTTTTGTTTACACACACACTGCATTAACTATACACACTGCATTCACTATACACACACTGCCTCCTTGTAGGTGGTAATGGGAGGAGGGACGAGGGAAGACTGGCATGGTGCAGATTACTCTGAATAGATCTTTCTGGTCTCTGACCAGGATGGTGCATCTACAGGGAGCTGGTCTCAGTTGGAGGTGCTGCCTGCACAGAGAAAAGCAAAGGGCTTGTAGGGAGGTCTGTAAATCTCCCCACCAGCCTGTGCAGGTTCAGGGGTGAGGGCTCAGGAGAGCTGGAACTAGAATGGTAGCACTAGCTCTGCTGTCTGAGCAGCTGTTGAAAATTAACTTTTATTTGCTATAAACATTTAAGTTGCAATAATGAAAATCATGTATACACAAGGTATTATGTACACGGGTGTTGGCGTGAATGTGTTAACAAAAAAAGTGTTACATCTGACATCTTGTAACATCTGGTGATGTTTAAAAAAAGCTGTAAACTCCCCATTCATCTCACTATTCATTGGATGGATCTATTTATATAAACACTATAACTTTGTGCTATTTTATACTATTTAAAATATTTTTTATATTTAAGGAAATACTAATTTCAAGGTTACAATGACATTGGTGAAATATTAAACATAATTGTTCTAGCAATCTTCCTTTCAATTTTTTTTATATTACTCAGTATAGTGAAAAAAGTATGCAAGGACAAACACAAGAAGACTTTGTCACTGCAAACAAATGAGTTTAGTTTAACTGATTTGTCAAGAAAAAATATTACCTTTAAAATGGGTCAATCAGTGTACTGCAAAATCTAAATATTATGTATATATTTTGCAGTACACTGATAGTCACATTTTTGTGCAATTTACTTGACAGTTTAAAGGAGAATAAATAATCAATACATTGAAAAAAAGGATTGCAGTAAACAATCTAGGTTTATAAATTTATATATTTATTAAATAAAAAATTTTTTTACTGCTCCTCCTTTTTCCCCTCTAATAGTTACTTCTCACTTGATGTGGGAATAAAATCAACAATTACGGGTTGTCAATCATCAATCATCTTTTTTCCCATTAATCAACTTTTATTGGCACCACTGACATAACTCTAAATCATAAAAATGTGCCTCCATTGTCCTTTTTGTTTGCTTAGTAATTCTTAAAAAATAGCATTTTGGAGATATTAAATTCAGAAGACCCGTTGACCCCCAAAATTCAGATAAATTGCAATTTGTTTGAAACTTAAAGTCTAAACACAAATAAATGCAGAGATAGGACTATGCATGTCAGTGAATAATGTAGACTTTCTTTCTGCATTAGTTTTGCTTGTTTAAAAACTGTTATTCTCTCGTTCTCTGCCCAAAAAAAAAAATGAAGGCATCACGTAATAGCCTTCTTTTTCCTCCTTCTACATATGCATCAGATGCTATGTAAAATGGGTATATATGTATGCCATAAAACAGGTGCCAAAAACATCTTTTTAAAAGTGGATTTTAGTTAACAATAAATCAAACAAATGTAATGTCAAACTGTGAACAGTCTATGTGTAAGGGTAAATATCAATGAAACCTAATTGCTATCTTTTCAAAGTAAGGAAACCATATACACAACAGTGTTAAGATTTAAAAAGAGCTTTAGAATACCTGAAAATGTACCAATTCACATTTTCTCTAAGCATGCAAATACATTGAAGATTGTTTTGTTTCTATATGATGTTAATTCTTCTAAACATCGAACAAATCTCAAACATACTGTGTTCTATTTTAACAATAATTCAATTAGCATTTATATATTTTTAAAGCAATACCATCTTTCATTTTCTTTTTAAAATATTTTTCCCTTTACATTTTGTATGTATTTGTTTAAATAAAACTTGTCAATTGTCATTAGTGACACTGAAGCCATCATAATCAATTCAAATGGATAAATGCATTATAGTGGCAAGAACCTTCCTTTAAATATTTGTGGACATGAAGGGATTTCTTCCATAAGATTAATTTAGCAATAAATACCTGTAAAGTAATACCCAGCCTTTGCTAATTGCAGGTTTCCTTTATCTAAAGAAGTGGTTCTATTTGCAATGTGTAAAAATAATTTTGTAAATTAATGACATATGAATGGGAAGGACACAGATCCTTCATTGTATATTTACAAGGTCGTTCACTAAACACCAGAGTTTGCCTGATTAGACAAAATCTGGAGAAAATGGCTAAATTCAGACCACAATGGCAATTATCATATTTACTGGAGCCAAATATGGTCAAAATACTGTCTTGATTTATTCCATGTCTCGATTAAAATCAATGCTTTTGCATCCAAATTTCATATAGAGTCTAGGAATCAGAAGATTTACAAAGCTCAAATTTAAACTGAATAGGGACATTCCAATTAATGTGAGCCCACAACTTTGAATTCTCACTTTAGTAAATAACCTTGTAAATGAGTAGAATGCTAATTAAATTATAAATTAAGGCCAGATTAGGTGAACATCCACCTTAAATGTTAAATTATCCTTGAATTTACCTTGAACTCTCACATTAGTGAATAATCATTTAATGTTTTAAATAGCATGTAAAAGTCAATACATAAATAGTGTTTCAATAATGTGAGCCAGAACTATAGTAATTAAAAATGACCACATTAGAAAAGATTCAGACATTATGTTATCTTGTGTTAGAGGCTAATACAATACACTGCAAAATTTAAATACTGAATGTGTTAAGTACAAGAAACACCAATATTGGGATTAATTTCAAGGCAGAGAAGTTGTTAGATATAGGTGATGGTAACACAAGTGGCAAAAAGTGGAAATGAAATCAAATTGATAAGGTATGTATGAATAAAGCAGTTTCTACTGATAATAAATGTGTAAAGTTGGAGAGGTAACTATGATAATGACTGTATATTATATTATTATAAAGTATAAAAAGTGAAGACACAGTAAGAGAAGAAAACATAGTTCAAAGTAGAGAAATGTTAATACAGCAGCAATTGCTAAGAAGTGGTATTTCAAATATGTTATATTAGGAGTAATGTAGTAAGCCAATCAAGAGTGTCAAGGATAACAGGTAAACTGGTATGATATAGATTCTTTTCATAGCAGCTCATTATTTACCATTTTAATAATCTTCTATGGATACATTAATATTAATCTACAAATAAAACTCAATAATGTGACAATAAAAATGGTGGCACAAGTTGTCCTTGTCATGTGCCATGCATAGTCGTAGAACAGCTTTTAGAAGAATTGACTCACTAAATTAACAAAACAAATATCACATGTCCTTTACAGTCAGACATGAGGTTTAGAAAAATTGAGTGTATTACTAAATAAATGAATCAAGCACTATAAAGTCAAGCAGTGTTTTGCCTCTTGTAGCAGCAAAAATGTTGTTTCTGTCCGCTAAGGTTTGGTATCGCATGATTACGTCACTGTTTGTTAGGGGAGGTACCTGTTTTTGTTTGCTGGTGCGAAAGATCCCTGCAAAGGTCAGTGTCTTTGCCTGCGAGTGTGGTGGTAAGATTGCAAAGAGGCGTCTGAGGTAGTGTGGTGGTTCAGAGTGACTTACATCATCGGGTATGCCCCTTATTTTTACATTGTTTCTGCGGTTTCTGTCTTCTGCAGCATCCAGTTTGTTGAGCAGGGCAGAGTGGGAGGTTTGAAGTTGTATTACTGTTTCTTTAAGGCCTCTCACCTCGTGCTGCACGTCCAAAATGTCCTCCTCCGTGGTTTGCACGGACATATGTTTCAGCTCTGCCAGGAGGTTTCTAATGTCCAGTTTTGTGGCTGGGGTTAGTGCATCGGGGTCCGGCTGAATGTCCATGTGTGGCTGTGGGTCTGTGATTTCCCCCAATGGTTGCTCTAATCCTGCAGAGCTGGTGTCCTGTTCAGGCATGGCGGCCATCTTTGGTGCCGCGGGGCGCTGCAGCATTGTGCTGATGTCCTGGGTGTTTGTACCTCCACCTGTGGCTGCTTGTTGGGATCTCCGTCCCATGTTTGCCGGGTCGATTGTCCCACTCTCTGTAGGTGGTGTGGTGACTGTGATCACCGCATTGCGTATCGCTGCTTCGAGGGCCTCGTATGCGGGGTAGGCCCTGAACTTGCAGCGTATTTTCTTGCCCATCTGTGGGAATCGGCATCGGTCAGTCAGTACTGTTTCCCCTTGCTCTGCTGTATGATTTTCTGGCTGGATCCGCTTGTCCGGCTCGGTTTGCCATTGATTTTTCTCTGGTTTGGCCGGAGCTCACACGATTTGCGTGCGCTCATGTCCATGGCTAAGCTCATCCCCCTATTTAAATTTTTATCTCCTGAGGAGGAGAAAGCTGATTGGAATATCAGTAAAGAAAAATATATATTTATATATATTTATATATTATAAATATATATATTTCTGATAATATATAACATTAGCATCGGTATATTTACTCACCTGATCTGAAGCCATTATGGTAATTGATTGATAACATAACAGGAATGTTACTGATCATACTACAAATGAATATATTTTCTTATAAAAATAACAAAAGCACAGAGTTGGATTATTTGCCCTTAGACTGAATTTGAATGACGATAACTGTGATAGTAGTCATTATCACTGGGACCATCACTGGGACAATATGAACTATGCTCTTTCCTCTGGCAATTCTTTTATTTTTGTTTGTCTCCATTATATCCAGAGTTGCTCCATCTTGGGCTGGGATTTTGTGCGGTTAGATTTGCTGTTGGCAATAATGGAACTGTGGCTTGTTATGTCTGACTCCTCATGTGGTTCGTCCAGATGTCACTTATGTCTAAGTTACCCTGTGCCCAATATAGGTGCAGGGTGTCTATTATCGGCATCGGTCGGTCAATTATTTTATGTTACTTGCGATATGTCTTGTGTACTCTCCTGTACTGCTATATATTTTGGATAGATTTACATATTATGGTTTATGCAGGCAGGGGATGTATTTCTTGTCATTGTTTGTCTTCCCCACCCATTTATAAATATATTATTGTGACTGCCTTTATAATTTCCTATATTATTATGTTTTATTTATTTAATTGAGTGTATTACAATAAGTGCAATGTAATGCAGATAGGAGCTAGTCCTAAGTGGTACTTCCTGTCTGGTATTTAGAGGAATTCAAGTAGTCTCTGGACCTGCTTTCTGGCTGCACTATTCCCTGTTACCACAGACCATTCAGGAGTAAATCTTCCCCAGGGTTCAGGAATTATTGTGGCAGTTTTCTTTACATCTGTCAGCACTGTGCTAATCACAGTGAGAAACAAGTGGCTTTGTAAAGGTGGTGTCTGGAGATGCCAAGGCAGACAATACCTGCCTGCAAGAAGGAGTGATAGAGGGGTACATGCCTGGGTGAAGGAGAACAGAACGAGGGGTTGATACCTGCCTCCTGCTCCTGTGGATAAAGGGCTCTGTGCATTCCCAGGCCCTTGCAAAAACCACTATCCATACTGGTTGCCTCTTCAGCCTTTCTTCATGGAGATTTCTCTACTGAGATCAGCAACCTGGGGAAAATATAGTCACTGACTTCACCCCTGTCTCAACAACAATCCCTTATGGATGATACACCTGTAGGAGAGGCCACAATATCATCTTCAGAGAGGTGAGGAAATAAGAGTAAAATAATTTTCAACAATGCCAGAAATACATCAATATGGATAAAGTATCAAAGGAAAATGTGAAAGAAGTCATGTTAAATGGTAACTTAGTTGAACCATAACCAAGGGACAGTAAAACAGATACTGTACTAGATGTCAGATTTAATTCCTCTTAACTGTGGTCAAATACAGGTAGCATTCAAGCTTATAATGCTGTACAATAGTCATTGGTAGCTATTAGCCCTACAAGTTGTGTGACAGAATCTCCATTCTCTAAGACCATCCAGGGATTGACCATATTAGACTTGTAAAGTAATCTAGGAAGAAAACTATGAATAAAGAAGGGCATGAGTAACCATGATCTCTCCTTAGAACCACATCTACTCAAGTGGATAATATATTGGAATTCAGATATTACCAATAGACAGCACTTCATATTCCTCCTGACCTTTGGCAAAGAAGGAACATAAGGCAATGTAAGGGGATACTGTCTTCTAAAAACCACGATTTGTATGTTGATACATGAAGAAAAAGCAAGATCCAGGGCACAAGTGACAAGAAGAACACAGTGGAAGATCCTGTAAAGATAAAAGTATTGGGGACTCAGTTTGGTAGAGAAAATGTACAGACTTTATTCCGGGTGGACCCACTCTTCATAAATTAGTGCTGAGACATTGGTGAGTCTGTGTATTCAGGGGCTGGGTAGGTCTGCTAAAAAGGCACCAAATCTAATTAATCTGGTCTAAAGGTCAATTAAGTGATGGTCCAGTGCTTCCTTTTGGAAGGACCAAAGGATTACATTTATAATTGATATAAATTGGCCTGTGTTAGACTCTCTAGGTGACAGTGCTATGAGCCCAGGGCAAAAGGTTGCACAAATTATCATTGTGATGAAACAGCATAAATATTTTTCAAGAGACTAGTTGTCAAGCACTGCTAGTTTGTGGATTGTAACTGAAGGAAAAGCAAACTAGATACACATCTAGAAAAAAACATCCCCAAATTGGGTGATAAAGTCTCTACCCCTTTCTAAGTCTTGACTAGCTAATTTAAAAGTATCCTGGCAAAATGCTATTTTGGCAGAAGAATGCAATTTAGCAATACCTAAAAGCCTGTCAATTCTGTGGACATTTTCTGGGGAGAAATTATCCTACGAAATAGAGTAACATTTGTTTGAAAAGCAATATTAGCAAGTTTACACCTGACACTTATGCCATAAAATAAAGTTGGTGGCAGCACACAGAGTTAACTTCTGAAATTTAATCCATACTAAACGTGCAATTTCCATGATATTGGCATAGACTGAATTTTCTTTCAGTAAAAGAAAAGAATTGTCTATATTCATTCTAATGATATCCAAATAATGTACTGATATTTTTAACCCCTTAAGGACACATGCCATGTGTGACCTGTCATGATTCCCTTTTATTCCAGAAGTTTGGTCCTTAAGGGGTTAAAGGAACACAAACATATATTCCTGACACTATAGTATTAAACACACTGTTTAGGCACCAGGCCCATCTGTCAGAGCAGTGAAAACGTGTTTTTACTCACCTTTTCTCCCATGCTGCACCAATCTTTCCATGACTGCCTCACCTTCCTCCATGGCTGAAATCATCAAACTTGATGATTTCAACTGATCCAATGCTTACCCATAGCAAAACATTGGGGGGCTATTGTGCATGCATGGCAAAATGCCATGCTACACCAATAAGAATCTCCTCATAGAAATGCATTGAACTGATGCAACTTTGTAGGGAATCTGCAGCGTCTCCATGCAGAGCTATATGAATTATGATTACTTTTATAATTTCCTCTGATGCTAATTATTAGATTTTGTGATTTGTTCCATTGCAAAATGCAATTACTTCAAATTTGTGATGATTAAGCAATTGTTAGAATTGCCAAACTCTAAACCAAAATATAGCTACAACTCACTCCAAAATAATCACACAATAGAGGGCATGTTTGTATTGAATATTTGTGATTCAGAATTCCACCTGTGGCACCACATAAATGATGATAGATGATAAAAAAAAAAAAGATGGTTGATAACCAGAAAACGGCCACTAAACGTTGATTTTCTTTACAGATCAAGTAAGAATTGACCAATATATTAATAAAAGGAGGAGCAGAAAATGAAATTTATATTTAGATATTTTAATATGTAGATATTTCATAAATGTATGTACAATTATATATACACATACTCTGATCAGCCACAACAGAAAACCACCTGCCTAATATTGTGTAGGTCCCTCATGTTGCCAAAACAACTCTGATTTGTCGAGACATGGGCTCAACAAGACCTCTACATGTCCTGTATTGGCACGAAGACATTAAGCAGCAGATACTTTTAGTTGCATGTTGTGGCCTTCATAGATCAGATTTGTTGTTCCAGCACATCGCACAGATGCTTAATTGGATTGAGATTGCGGGGATTTGGAGGCCAAGGCAGCACCATGAAGTCTTTGTCATGTTCTTCAAAGTAATTTTTGCAGTGTGGCAGGGTGCATTATCTTGCTGAAAGATGGCACTGCCATCAGGAAACACCATCTCCATGAAGGGGTTTACATGGTCTGCAACAATATCTAGGTAGGTGGTATGTGCCAAAGTAACATTCACGTGAATGCCAGGACAGCAGAACATTGCCCAGAACACTGTCATTGGCAACCTTCCTTCGGCCCATATTGTATCCTGCTGCCATCTCATCCCCAGGTAATGGATGCACACACATCCAGCAATTCACCTTATGTAAAAGAAAACATGATTCATAAGACCAGGCAGCATTCTTCGTTTGCTCCATTGTCCAGCTTTAACACTCATATTCCCACTGAAGGCGCTTTTGGCCATGGGAAGGAGTCATTACGGTCACTGTGATCAGTCTGTGGCTATGAAGACACATGCATAGTAAACTGTGATGTATTGTGCATTCTGACAGTTTTCTATCATGACCAGCATTACGTTTTTCAGCAATCTCAGTTACAGTAGCTCTTCCGAGAGGACACCAGATGGGTTAGGATTTGTTCCCCACCTGCATCAATGAGTCTTAGGTGCCAATGCCCCTGACTTCAGTTGTCCTTTCTTGTACCACTTTTGTAGGTACTAACCACTAAATAGAGACTTGCTATTTTGCAGATGACCTGATCCAGTCATCTAGCCAACATTATTTGGCCCTTGTCAAAAACATTCAGATCTTTTTGCTTGTCCATTTTTCTTTGCTCATTTTTTTTTACTGTTCTCCTTTCTATTGGATACTTTTTATCACTTGAACTGTGATCCAAATGATGGGAATATGCACCTATCAGAATATATAAACATAATGTTTATATAATTGGCCCATTTTCATGCTCTTCCATTTCATCTTTTATTTTTGGACAAAGTGGTTGTGAACTATATATAAAGCTTGTATTGCATATTGCATATTCTACATTTAAGATTTGGAAACATAATAGTTTCTAATGGAAAAAAGCTTGATGCATCTCAGAATGTGTTCTGGAAAACACTGTCACCAGATGGCAC